GTGTTCTTGAAATCAGAAAGAAGCATATGGAAATCAGCTTGTAATTTTTTTCAAGATTCAAAAGAGCGCAAACAGAGGCGTCTTAAGGCAAGGCAGTGGATTTCTGGGAGACGCAACCGAGAATGCATATCTCCTCCCCGCGAGGCCATTTATCGCTTTTGTTAGCTAGTTATAGTTAATTACCTGTGCTGTAATTAATTTAGCTTTAGCGCTTTGTAAATACTCTAATTAGCTTAGATTAGCTAGTTTATTACAATTTGTTATGTAATAATTAATTAGCTAGAATAGTTAGTTAATTAGTTGGTTTGTAATAGTTAGCTTAAATTAGCGTACGCTAGTTAGGCTTTCATTTTTATTCAGACCCTCCGTCGATGAGGGCAAACGCTGTAATAAGGGTGCGTGTGTGTGTGCATGTCTTCCCACCTATTCTTTTTCTCTTTTTACTTATCAGCTTTTGATGGTTAGTTTAGGCATATTTCAATTAGCATACCTTATGCTTTGCATGCGTGCATCATTCATTCGTCTTGCATGCCACGGGCTCGGCGCATCATTCAAACTGCATGAATTTCAATACTTACTTAAATACATGTTTCAAAGCATGTTATCGAGTGTTGCATTCATATGCCATCCTAGATAGCCGAGCTACTTAGTTGCATATTGCATGTGTTGCGCATTAGGCATTGTTAACATAGTTAGGATCATGGCATATTTCTAACTAGCTTCTGTTTTGGCTCGGAGTACACTGTATAGTGTTTATGCTTTAGCATCCTTACATGTGTGTAAATGACTGCCATGATAGCATGCTTGCCATGAGGCCATGTGCTTTATTTGATAAACTGCATGAATGCCTATGGATGATGTCTTCTATACTTGAATTGGAACAATTCATCGAAATGTGAGTTTTAAGCCCACTTGAAGTGGCAAAATCATCATGTTTTAAGCCCACCTGTTTTGGTGGCAACATCCGCATTTTAGCCTACTTGCGAGTAGCATCTTCAAACCACTTTCGAAAAAACAACATGAGATGTTTTGTTCCAAATCGAGCGATTTAGTCTATACTTGTGTGTGTGGCGCATCACGTAGTAATGATAGATATATAATCAGAATAAGAACACATTGTAGACCCCCACCATTTTTGACTGACCTCAGACTTGGACGTCATCGTTTGAACACTCGGTGATCATCCTGTTTCGTGTTCGTCTTGAGTTCCCGGAGGTCTCGGCTACGCGCCCTGCCTCAAGATCTCTCGACTCGACTGTTTTTGTGTCTGGTTTTGCACCAAACACTTGTTGTTTTGCTTCTGAGGGTGGGAAGTAGCTT